CACTTGAGCAGCACCAGACCATTATTGAACTTGTAGTTGCAGACAAAATGGAATCTAAAAAAAAACTTTAAAATAAAGGAGTCCAAAAATACAGAAACAGTATACCTGAAGAGAGGGAACAAGAAAGCTTCAATTATGAAAGGATTTTTAGACTAAAAAAATAAATTCAGTTTGTATCAACTTTTCTGCTGTAACATCCCACCGTGTTTTTAAAAATACTAACTGCAACAAGTATAGCCACAGAAACCAGGTTCAGTTGAGACATCAGGATCCCTCCTGACAGAAATGCTGAATCACAGTAGAGGAAGGAAATTACAAAGTATAGTTGATTTCAGAAGAGCGAAAAGCAGAAAGCAATGGGTGTGGTAAAACTTCCACACGTTTTGTACAGGGTCAGAAGACTCAGGATGCTGTCTTCTCAGCAAGCCTTATTATGAAATAATTGTTATACAGAACATGGGATACCTTATTGATCATCAAGACTATGTTACAGCTGAGACAATAACACATGAACTTCCCTTGAATTCATAGTAATCCCAGTACTAATCACACTTTCACTGCAGTTCAGCTTTACACAGTGCTCCCTCTCTTTCATTAGTGTACTTTCTGAGGATTAAACCTGCTCCCAAAATGAGACCTGAAAATGCAAATTCACATTTGAAAGCATGGTAATTTTAAACCAAGCTCCATAACAAAATCCTCTGAAATGCAAGTAATTAGGGCATCTTTCTCTTAACGAAAACAAAAATAAAGTACATCAGACAACGGTACAAAAATATGTTCTTACTTTGGCATGGTAAGTCTGTTCAAGCTCTTCTTTGTATAGCTTCACTTGTGCATCATGCTGCTCTCTTATTTCACGAAGGGCTTGGGCCAGTTTATGTTCGTATTCAATCTGACGCCCAGAATCAACCTCAATTAAGCGAGTTTCATGTTTCCTTCTTGTTTCATTGATTTCCTAAGAAAAACAGAATAATATTCAGTAGATAAGAGACTAAGGTTTTAGAAGACTATCCACTGACCAGATAGCGATGCGGATTTTAGCTAGCCTTGTGGATCAGCATTAGATTAGTCTGTTTGACATTAAAACTTTCAGTAGAAACACAGGGTCATTTCCCTAGTCTGATCTGCATAGTACCTTATTTTGCAATAGCCAGTCATTGAAATAAGAGCTAGGATATCATCAGCATGTAAAGTCACATTTCCTTCTGAGAGGTGTCTGTATATTCAACAAATACACCTCAATACAATTAGATTTTAGAAATACATCCCTCCCTTTCTTCAGGTATCTTCTATGCTTGCACAAAATGAAAGTACTGTGAAATTAAACAGTCATTTTCACTAACCAGCATTTTCCCCATTTATTTGTATGCTTGCCTGTAGTCTCTGGAAAAAAGGATTCCAACAACATGAACAAAGCTGAAAATACAACTAGCAAGGAAATGGGCATACAGAAAAGACAGTATGGTTAGGTACATTTGTTACTGCTCTAAGGTTCCTCCTGGAAAGCCTCAAGTACAAGTAAAAGGGAAGGTGGTAAGAAAAAGCTGCAAAAGAAAATATTCATCAACTTCTGTTTCCATTATTCAAAAGCATGTTATTAGAAAGTTCTGAAATTAAAAAGCAGTACAAGTCCATAGCACCTGTTTGAGTGTCCCTCTCCACTTTATTTCTCATAAAGGGATTATGTGAGAAATTATTAACCTACTTTCTCATTACTATGAGAAGATGTGCACATTGCAATACCATAGGTAGAATTTAACACAAACATGATACATGAAGCTATTTTATCACAAGAGCTCATCATTTTTCCTAGAAAAAAGTTGGAAATTTTCCAGCTAGAATAGAGGTAAACCCTGCTCTGAGTGGCAGTTCAGACCAGATGACTTCCTGAGGTCCCTCCCAACCTAAATTATTTAGTACTCTAGAATGACCCCCCAGTTGTCTTCTTCCCTTAAAAATATGAATTCTTGAGACTAAAGCATTTACCTCCTCATACATATTTTTACGGAATTCCAAGTCCTCAATGAGACTCTGACAACGGTTTTCAAGATCCACCTTCAGTAAAGTTTCATTTCCAAGCTGTTCCTTGGCAGCAGCTAAAGAAACTTCAAGCTTTAAGAAAAAGAAATAGAAGAATCAACACAACAATGATTATGTAGCAGAACTCATGTAACGCAATGCCCTCAGCTACCTAGAGGTACAGGTAACTATATGTTATGGTTGAACTTGACAATCAAATCCAATATTTACACCAGTAATGTCTCCCCCCGCCTACCTTTGCAATTGCTTGCACAAGTGAGTTCTAGATATTTCACACTGGTAGCTAGCATTAAAAGGTTACTTACCAATTCTCCTTAAAAAACTTCAGTTTTTCTATATGGCAAATTCCTGGTCTCCTCAAATCATCCTTTTGTGATCCTTAAGATCACAAATCATGTGTTTCAAAGGGTTAACAAAACTAGCACAATACCTTTTTCCCCCCCCCCCTCTTTGTTCTATCAGATGCCCAGAAGACTGAGAAGGAGAGGCAGAACCAGAGAGCAGAGAGAATCACAAACTGTTACTTGTCAGTTATTCGTTATCTGTATTTGTGAAGTCAGTCTCTCCCCGAAACAGTTCTACAATTTGACAAGTTTATTTTGACTCTTAACCTGCCTTCTTCAACATAAGTATTGTCCCTTCCAATTTCTGAGTCTGCAATTTTAAAAGCACTCTATTCCACCATTCATGCTATTAATAAACTGAACAGTACTGGACACAGACACCTACTCAATACTGATTCCT